GGCTGGATTTCATCGTTTCTTATGGCTGAGTAGTATTCCATTGTGTATATATACCACATGTTCTTTATCCATTCGTCCCTTGATGGGCACTAAGGTTGCTTCCAAGTCTTGGCTATTGTGAATAACGCTGCAATGAACACAGGGGTGCATGTATCTTTACGCATTGGTGTTTTCAGGTTCTTTGGATAAATATCCAGCAGTGGAATAGCTGGATCATATGGTAGTTCTATCTTTAATTTTTTGAGGAATCTCCATACTGTTTTCCATAGTGGCTGCACCAGTTTGCACTCCCACCAGCAGTGTATGAGAGTTCCCTTCTCTCCACATCCTCTCCAACACATGTTGTTTCCTGTCTTGTTAATTATAGCCATTCTGACGGGCGTGAGGTGATATCTCATTGTAGTTTTGATTTGCATTTCCCTGATAGTTAATGACGTTGAACATCTTTTCATGTGCCTGTTGGCCATCTGTATGATATTCTAAACTTAACTTGAAACAGATCATAGACCTAAATGCAAGGGCTAAAACCAAAAAATTTCAAACACAAAAAACAGAAATTTTAAAGAAATAAAAATCGATAAATTGGACTTCAAAATGAAAAACTTCTTCTCTTTGAAAGATATCGTTAAGAGAAGAAAAAGCTAGCCGTGGACCAGGAGAAAATATTTGCAAAACATATATCTAAAAAGGGACTTGTATCCAGAATATATAAGGAACTCTTATAACTTAATAATAATAAGACAAAAAACTCAAGAAATGAAGAAAATATTTGAACAGATAATTCACCAAAGGAAACATATATATATATGTTTGGCACTGTATATATATATACATATATATATGGCAAATAAGCACATGAAAAGATGCTCAATTAGTCATTAGAACTGGAAATTAAGAACGGTAGATACCTACTAGAAAGGCTAAAATGGAATGATTGACCATACCAAATGTTGCTGATGATATGGAGGAACCACAACTCTCATACATTGCTGGTGGGAATGTAAAATAATTCAATTACTTTGGAAAACCGACAGTTTCTTATAAAGTAGAGATACACCTAATATATGATCCTGCCATTTTATTCCTAGGCGTTTACCCAAGAGATGAAAGCTATGTCCATGTAAAAATTTGCACATGATTGTCTAAAGCTGCTCTATTTGTAATAGTCCAAAACAGTAAACAATCCAAATATCTACCAAGTGAATTAATAAACAAAATATGAAATATACATACAAAGAAAACATTCAGCAATAAAGAGAAATGAACCATTGGTGCACATAACAATGTAGATGAACCTCAAAATCCTTGATCTGAGTAAAAAAGCCAGACAAAAAAGAGTATATAGTGTATATTTCCATTTATATAAAATTCTGGAAAATATAATATTACCTATAGTCACGAAAAGCAGATTAGTGGTTCCCTGGGGAGGTTGCGGATGGAGGGATGGGATACAAGGGTGCCTAAGAAAATTTTGGAAGAAGATAGAAATATTTGTTATCTTGATTGTGGTGATGATTTCACAAATGTATACTTACATCAAAACTCCTCAAATTGCACACTTTATTTTATTTATTTATTTATTTTTTTAAAGATTTTATTTATTCATTTTTTTCCCCCCAAAGCCCCAGTAGATAGCTGTATGTCATAGGTTCACATCCTTCTAGTTGCTGCACGTGGGACTCGGCCTCGCGTTGAACGGAGAAGCGGTGCCCTGGGGCGCGCCCGGGATCCTAACTCTCGCTGCCAGCATCAGAGCGCGCGCACTTAACCGCTAAGCCACGGAGCCGGCCCCATAAAATTGCACACTTTAAATGTGTAAAGTTTTTGTAGCCAGTTATCCCTCAATAAAGATGTAAAAAAAATAAAATAATAAATGATACCAAAAAAAGTTTTTTTTTAAAGGAACAAGGCTGTTTTTTCTTTAGGGAAGATTGGCCCTGGGCTAACATCTGTTGCCAATCTTCCTCTTTTTTTTCTTTTTTTCTCCCCAAAGCCCCAGTACATAGTTGTATATCCTAGTTGTAGGTCCTTCTAGTTCTTCTATTTGGGTTGCCACCTCAGCATGGCTTGATGAGTAGTGAGTAGGTCTGAGCCCAGGATCCGACCAGTGAACTCTGCACCTCTGAAGCAGAATGCATGAACTTAACTGCTATGCCACTGGGCCGGTCCACAAAAAAGATCTTATGCCTAAACCTCATCACCAAGAAATTCTGATTTATTTGGTCTAGAGTAGGGCTGGACATCAGTATATTTTAAAAGCTCCCTAGCTGATTCTACTGTGCAGCCAGAGTTGGGAACTACTGGTATAGATAAATCAACTTATTACTAGTAAACTCAAAGAATTTCTAGGAGTTTCCAGTCAAGGAGGCTGTGGGCCAGATATCATTCCTTCTTTCTTCTCTTCTCTAAAAGTGGAAAAAAGTATCCCACCAGTTTTCATCTAGTGGTTGTGTTGTTGGGGTTGGGTACATGTGTTGGTATCTATCTCTGAACACAACTTCTAAGAGACAATGGGCTTATCACACTTTTTTTTTAACAGCTCTATTGAGGTATAATTGACAAATAAACATTGTATATGTTTAAGGTATATAACTTGATGCTTTGATATGTATACATTGTGAAATGATCACCACAATCAAGCTAATTAATATATCTATCACCTCCACATAGTTACCATTTTCTTTTTTGTGTGTGTGGTGAGAAGACTTAATTTAAGATCTACCATCTTAGCAAATTTCCAGTATGTAATACAGTATTGTTAACTGTAGTCACCAGGCTGTACATTAAATCTCAAGAACTTATTCATCTTGTATATCTAAAATTTTGTACCCTTTGACCAACATCACCCCATGCCCCCCTCCCCCCAACCTCTGGCAACCACCATTCTGTTCTCTGCTTCTATGAGTCTGACTATTTGGATTCACATATTAAGTGAGATCATGCAGTATTTGTCTTTCTGAGTCCGACTAATTTCACTTAGCATAATGTCTTCCAGGTTCATCCATGTTTTCACAAATGGCAGGATTTCCTTCCTTTTTAAGGCTAAATAATATTCCATTGAATATATATAGCACATTTTTTAAATTCATTCTTCCATTAATGGACATCTGGGTTGCTTCCACGTCTTGGCTATTGTAAATAGTGCTGCAATGAACATGGAAATGCAAATATTTCTTCAAGATCCTGATTTCAATTCTTTGGGATAAATAACCAGAAGTGGGATTGCTGGATCATATGGTAGTTCTATTTTTAATTTTTTGAGGAACCTCCACACTGTTTTCCACAGTGGCTGCACCATTTTACATTCCCACTAACAGTGTACAAGGGTTCCAATTTCTCCACACACTCACTGACACTTGTTATCTTTGGGGTTTTTTGAGAATGGCCATCCTAACAGATGTGATGTGATATCTCATTGTGGTTTTCATTTGTATTTCTTTGACGATTAATGATGCTGAGCATCTTTTTGTATACCTCTTGGCCATTGTATGTCCTCTTTGGAGAAAAGTCTGTTCAAGTCCTGTGCCCATTTAAAAATTTTTTTACTATTGAGTTGTAGAAGTTCCTTACATATTTTGGAGATTAACCTCTTATAAACTGTATGGTTTGCAAATATTTTTTCCCCTTTGGTAGGTTGCTTTTCATCTTGTTGATTGTTTCCTTTGCTATGCAGAAGTTTGATGTAGTCCCACTTGTTTGTTTTTGTTGCCTGTGCTTTCAGTGCCATATCTATGAAATAATTATCAGGGCCAATGTCAGGAAGCTTTTCCCCTATGTTTTCTTCTAAGAGTTTCATAGTTTCGGGTCTTATGTTTAAGTCTTTAATCCATTTTGAGTTGATTTTTGTGCTTATCACTCTTCTAATGGGAATAATCAATGTACCACTTCAGTCTCAGTAATTATCTTGTCTATAGATTAAAATGCTGCTTAGAGCTTCCTGGTATTGTTTTTCTGTAGATATTACCTGGCTTGGTTAAATGCCTTCCTTCTCTAACACCTGTTTATGAGGCATTTCTCCATGAGCAGAACATGTGGCTTGAACGCTCCCTGGTTAGCAAGAGGTGACTAGGAGCAGAGTCAGCTCCTAGTCAGCTATGGTTTCATCACTAGATCTTCTGTTTACCTGTTCAACATATATTTACTACTGTTCTTGAGAGAGCTGCCTCCCCATTGGAATTTTGTCAATCAGTGAAACATAGTAGATACTTCCTACATGAGAGGGGCATTTAAATATTAACTTGAATCTCAGTACCTGCAGAAGAGAAGTATTCAGTAGATGGAAATATTAGGAGAAAAAATTTCATGAAGCTCACAGTTGTGGGGTAGCATGTGACCCCAAGATGATAAACCAAATTTCAGGCCCTGGTTACCTTCTCTTAGGAAATCTTTGTAGACTCTTAGCAAGGGAACTTCTTGAATGCAAAACCATGCAAGGTGTAATAATAATGTCTTATAAATTAATAATATTATTATTGTTTTAAAGCTTGCATTTACACCTGTGTTAAGTACTTTGTATACATTATCTCATTTAATTCATTTGAAGCAATTTTATGACATAAATTATTACTCCCATTTCCCAGATGAAGAAATTTAGAAGTCAAATTATGCATAGGAAATCTCCCAGCAAGATATGAAGCAGGAATTTAAACCCAATCAGAAAGGATTCTGGAGGGGCCGGCCCCGTGGTTTAGCAGTTAAGTGCACGCGCTCTGCTACTGGCGGCCGGGGTTCGGATCCCGGACGCACCGCTTCTCTGGCCATGCTGCGACAGCGTCCCACATACAGCAACTAGAAGGATATGCAACTACGACATACAACTATCTACTGGGGCTTTAGGGGAAAAAAGGAGGAGGATTGGCAATAGGTGTCAGCTCAGAGCCAGTCTTCCTCAGCAAAAAGAGGAGGATTAACGTGAATGTTAGCTCAGGGCTGATCTTCCTCACAAAAAATAAAAGAAAAGAAAAGAAAAGAAAAAAAGAAAGGATTCTGGAAAGATACTGGAGCAGGAAGCACCAGGAATCTTCTCACTGGATTCCCATTTCTATCATTGTAGGTGCTCAATAAATGTTTCCTAAATTAAGAAAATTTGTCAATAATTAAGCCTGTGTTGTGGTTTTGAATATTTTGGGGTTCGACTAAATTACCTCTGAAGTGTCTTCTAAAGCTTAAACAAATCTAGTTTTCTGAGGACTAGAATTTTCTTTGATTTTTCAAACAAAATCAGTTCTTTGGATTTTGATTTGCCTAGAAAATCTGAGAGTTTCCTCACTGGTAAAAAGGAGGAAGAAATTTAAGTTGCAGATTCAGTATTAAAATGATTCTTTTTGGCCATAAGAATTATTAAGCCCCAGAAATATATTTTTTTAAGTTATGCAACTTTCTGAACAGTTTAAATTTACCAAGGGAGTCCCTCATAATAGCTTGGATTTTTTTCCTTCCAGAACATACTTCTATACTAAAAATGAGTAAAGATAATCTGATACATATATAAGGGAATCTTAAAGATAGATTATATATATAGATATGTATTATTTGGTATGAATGAATTGTTTTGTAATAAAATTTCTAAAAGAGATAAGCTATCGTAAACTAAAGTTATATTGTTCCTGGTATTGAGGCATAACAAGAGGTGCTATTGTCTGTATAAATCAGTGTGACTGTGCGGAGCAGCGGCTGATTTACACGTTGCTGGGAAAGGCAAAGCCTAGCCCATTTCCAAGTTTCCCAGGCATAGCAGGTTGACTCACACATTACTAAAATCCCCCTCTGGCTTCAGATGAATTAATTGACTTGTTTTTCTTGCTTGGGCACTACAATATTATCTATTGGCATGTTGAGACTACTCTGGGCTTTTAAAAACCAAAGTTGCTTATTTATAGGAGCCTCCAGATTAATAAACTATCACCCACAGCAAGCAAATGCAGTCAGACTTTTTGATGCTCTAAGGTGCTATTTGTTATACAACAGAGTGACCTTTCTGGCTCTGTTTTGCCATGATTCTGTGAACTATTACCTGCTCAGGGAAAACAAGCTCAGGATTTTTTTTTTTTTTATGAGGAAGATTGGCCCTGAGCTAACATCTATGCCCATCTTCCTCTATTTTGTATGTCGGATGCTGCCACAGCATGGCTTGATGAGTGGTGTGTAGGTCTGCACCTGGCATCCAAACCTGCAAACCCCGGCTGCCAACGTGGAGCGCGCAAACTTAACTGCTATGCCACCAGGCTGGCCCCCTCAGGATTTTTGACTAATAGTGCAATTCAACAAAACTATATTGAGCCCCTATTATGTGCAAGATGAATAAGGGATGTTTTTGATCATAAACCAGTGCCTCCTTCCCCCCAGATCAATGATGACACCAATTCACAAAAAGAAATTAACATCTTAAGTCAATATTTTAGCAACTGTCTGATTTGGCAGGAATGTTACATTCATAACAATGTGTAGGCTGGCCACCATGAGTTCTTTGCTGAAAATACAAAGTATATAATTACATTTTCTCATTAACAAGCTTTGACAGTATTAAGCTCTTTGCTCCCTTTTCCTTGTTTATCATTAACCTACACCTGGCATTCTGTGTCAGGTGTACATGCCAGAGATCGTGATGATAGGGCCACGTGATATCACCAGCTCAGTCTAGGCATTAGTGTGCGACCCAGACAGCAACTGCAGCTGGTCATTTCCAGCCACTTGGATCAGCTGAGATGAGAACATCAATTTAAATGAAAGTATATTTAGGGTGGTGACCCACTGTCACAAGATACAGACTGAAGGCCGTGAGTTTTAAAGTCAATAACAATATGCTGGAGCACAGGAAATAGGGAAGAGTGAGAGAAGAATTTTATAATTCATAAAGATAAGAGAGCACTATATATCTTTAACTGTTTCTTGAAGTATAATATACAGACCGGAAAGCGCACATATTGTAAGCATACACTTCGATCCCACACATCTGTGTATCCAGCACCCAATCAAGAAACTGAGCACTACTAGCTCCTCAGAAGGCCCTCTTATGTTTCCTTCTAGCTAGTAATCGCTCCCAAGAGTAACTGCTCTCTGACTTCTTTTTTCCCCCAGCGTTATTGAGATATAATTGACATATAACATTGTGTAAGTTTAAGTTGTACAATGGGATGGCTTGATACACGTATATATTGTGAAATGATTACCACGATAATGTTAGTTAACACAAACATTATCTCATATAGTTACCTTGGGGTTTTTTGTGGTGTGAGAACATTTAAGATCTACTTCCTTAGCAACTTTCAAGTAAGTATGTAATACAGTATTGTTAACTACAGTGCCCGTGCTGAATATTAGATCCCCAGAACTTATTCATCTTATAACTGAAGGTTTGTACTCTTTGACAAACATCTCCCCTTTTCCCCCATCCCCCAGCCTCTGGCAACGACCAATCTACTCTCACGTTTCCGTGACTTTGGCTTTTTTAGATTCCACATATAAGTTAGATCGTACAGTATTTGTTTTTCTCTGCCTGACTTATTTCACTTAGCATAATGCCCTCAAGATTCACACATGTTGTCACAAATAGCAGGATTTCCTTCTCTTTTATGGTTGAATAATATTCCATTGTATATATATGCCATATTTACTTAATCCGTTCATCTGCCAATGGATATTTAGGTTGTTTCCATGTCTTGGCTCTTGTAAATAATACTGCAATGGACATGGAAGTGCAGATATCTCTTCAAGATCCTGATTTCACTTCCATCAGATGTATACCCAGAAGTGGGATTGCTAGATCATATGGTAGTTCTATTTTTAATTTTTTTGAGGAACTGCCATACTGTTTTCTATAATGACTGAACCAATTTATATTCCCACCAACAGTGCACAAGGGTTCCCTTTTCTAACAGGTGTGGGATGATAGCTCTTTGTGGTTTTGATTTGTGTTTCCCTGACGATTAGTGATATTGTACTCCTTTTCACGTACCTGTTGGAATTGCTTTCTGACTTCTATCACCACATATTAGTTTTGTCTCTTCTTAAACTTCAAATAATCAGAATCATACAATTTGTACTCTTTCGTGTCCTGCTTTTCTCTCAACATCATGTTTGTGAAATTCACCCATATTGCTGCATAGGGTTGCAGATCAGCCATTTTCATTGCTGTATGGTATTCCATTTTGGAATGTACTACAATTTATTATTCATTCTCTGCTTATGGGCATTTGGGTAGTTCTCTACTTTTGGTTAATACAAAAAGGAACAGCACATATTTCAAAAAGTGAAAAACTTGATTTTACAAGGCCCTCATTACCTCGCCCACAGTTGTTCCTCCAGCCTCAGGTCTTGTCATTTCCCTGATCTCACTGAAAATTCCAGTCATACTGAACTTTCTGTTGTAGAATTCAGCCATCTCTCTCTCACCTCCTGGCCTTTGAACATTCTGTTCTGTCTTCCTGGAACACCTGTTTCCCGCCACCTATGCCTTAAGCTAGATAACATCCACTCCCCCTTTGGGCCTCAGTTTGGATGCCCCTTCCTCCAGAAAACAACCGCCTCCCCATAAACTACTAATATAGGTTATCCTTCTGCATTGCTCATTTGCTTGAATGTGTCCCCAGGAGACCGTGGACAGAGGCTGTGTCTTATTTACTGTGTTCACTATCCCCAGTGCTTAGGGCAGAGTGGGCACAGGTTTGGTTAAACACATTTGGTTTTTACAATCTAATAAGTAATTAATCCAGTGATAAACACTCATCATTTTAAGACCTAGTAAACTTTCACAGAAACAGGACACAATCTGGTTATTATATAATTTCTCCTCAGTTTTAATGAATACAGAAACTGAATGTGAACATTTTCAAAAGGAAAATATGTTTCTTTTTAAACATCATTCTTGGGCCAGCCCAGTGGCACAGTAGTTAAGTTCATAGGCTCTGCTTCAACAGCCTGGGGTTCGCAGGTTCAGATCCTGGGCGGACCTACACACAGGTCATCAAGCCATGCTGTGGCAGAGACCCACATACAAAAAATAGAGGAAGAAGGGCACAGATGTTAGCTCAGGGCCAATCTTCCTTGCAAAAAAAAAAAAAAAAGCAAAAAACATCATTCTTGAAACACAGGCTTCTATATATCCTGCTGTTTCGGTATATTTTATACTCATTGGAGTAGAGAAATGGGACCATTGTGAGGCCAGATTCAAAACCTGCCTGTAGTGCTCTCATGTCTCATGTCCTCTGGGAAGAGAGGCAAAGAGAGGTGTGTTGAAGGGTCGTCAGGAGTTTTCCCACCAGAGTCTCTGTGCCTTTGTTTGGATGATAGGCTGGTTTCTCCATCTTCTGTGGTCCAAGGCTGCTCTTTAGGTTTGGAGGGACTAACCCCAGTTGCAAGGTGAACGTGGACTGGGCTGTGTTGATGATAAGAAGCTCTTAGGGTATTAGTTAAAAATATAAATTCCCAGTCCTCATCCCAGATCCTCTTAATAAGAATCTCCATGGGAGGAGATTATCTAGGTTTTAGCCTGGTTAAATTTTAAGAGCCCCAGGTGATTCTTATCAAGAGCAAAGCGTGGGAAATGCTGTTTGAGAAATATGAGGTGTTTTGGGAGCTGGCTTGAATTAAAAACTGATTGTGCATCTCTCTTCCCAGCTCCACATTCGGTAACTTCTCATTGGTAGCTTGAAACTGGTCATAGTAGTATTTATACTGCAGAAATTGGCAAATGCTACAAATCTGCATTTTTCCCCCAAAGAAGTGGTTGTTAAATGTTTAGGAGCACACCACTGACTGCAGAAGTGAACAAGCAGGTGAAAATCCCGGCCCTCTGGGAGCTCACATTCTAATTGGGGAGATAGATAAAATAAGTAAGTGAATTATGTTAGAAGTGTTTAGAATGGGATGAACACTAAAGAGACACATAAAGTGGGAGAAAGAGATAAGGAGTATGAGTGGTGGTGGGCGTTGCACTTCTAAGTAAAAAGGTCAGGAAAGACCTCACTGAGAACGTAATATTTGAGCATTAATTTGAAGGAGAGGAGGGAGCA